ACAGAAAGGACTGGGATTTGAACCAGGGATTTTTTTTTCACTTGTTTTATATGTATGTGTGTGTATATATACTGTATATATATATATAAAAAATCTACATTTGTACGCATCCTTTATGATTGTCTTTGTTGTCATCACTTTTTGTTAAAATCAGGTCTCTTGTCAATGAGCCTCCGAGGCTCAATTGGATTAACCTGTTTAAATAAAGGTTGAATGAAAAAAAAAAAAAACCTAAAAGCCCGAGCAGCTGCAGGGAGGTGAACTTCTGCTGTGTACTGTGGGACGGCAGTAAATGAAGTTGCCTCCAGGCACAGATGGTCGGGAAACGCAGTTTATTTTCACTGGCTCGGCTTGACATCGAAACTGACAGTTAATCGACAAGAACAACAACTCATTCAGTGCCGCTGACGGTTGTTTAGTGTCAAACAAATGGTTTTAATTAAACTCTGGAGATGGCAACAAGTTCAGCTCATTTTTAAAGGCGTGTTCAACAGCTCTTGCATCAGATCTTGGAGATATTTAGACTTTTCTTGTGGCATAGCCTGACAGAAAAAGTTGAAAAGCTGCACAAACAACAACAAATGTAAAGTCACAACAGAGATCTTGTGTATGTGTCTGAGAAAACAAACCGTGCCAAGTTTTCCCCAGAGCATAACTGTTCAACTGCCAATTTGGATGGCCAAGGAGCAGAGAGGGAGTAACGAGCCAATCGGCTTTGTCCTGAGCCAGGTAGACCTGTTGGTGCACCTGCTGATTCCCAGGCCTTCTTGCCAGTTTAAGCTACAGTGAAACCCAGAGTGATACTGGCCCCGTGCCAGAGGAAGAGTTGGGTGACTACATCTGACACAATCGCTAAAAGCAGGGGATCCTGGGAAGAGAAGCAACCTTCGGTTTAGAGATGAGAAAAAAAAAAAAAAAAACAAGGTGACTAATATGAGAAGAAAGGAAAAAGGAGGAGGAACCGTTCATTAAACTCATGAGAACCTGAAACCTGGACCTGAAGGATTGCTCAATGAGTATATTATGACTGCACGGTGTGTAAGCGTGCATCACATGGGAGAGTTTACCTCCCGACTTTTGGAGCATCATTGCTTATATTATCAGCTGAAGTGAAGACATTTACAATTAATCTGTGCTTTATGTCTTGGTGTCTGAACAGGAAGTTATATAAAGCGACACTTCAGCTCTTTCAAAGTGGGTTCAGTGGAAAGGTAATGAGCAGTTAGTATCTTACCTGTTGCTGTAGCGGTTTAAACAACAGATTCTAGCAGAGCAGAAGGCTCAGGACCCGCTAACAACAGTTTTGAGGGAAACAGCTGCATTTCTGTCATGTCAGCTGTTTGTCTACAGTTGTTTCCTCTGACATCGAAACGTTTTGAATTCAGGTCTCAGGGTGGGGGATCACCCTGTTGAATGTGTGGGAGCGGCACAACCTCATCATTGGTCTGAATGAATGTTCGTGTATTCACCACTTTAACTTGAGGCTCCATTTTGGCTTTGGTTTTGCTCAGACGAGCCATTAGCTCATCAGTCTGGTCAGAATGAAACTCAGTTTCTCCAATCTGAGGATATTCAATCAGCTATCTAAGACAGTAAGGATGCTAATCATTCATAACCTCGTCACAGAACTTCCTTTCAAAAGGTCTAAATATGTGAAACAGAAGTCGTAATGTAACATTAAAGTGTTTTTCTTTAAAAAAATCCCACAACCTGTTTTGATTTGAAATCATGTATTTAACTCAGTCTGGCTATAACCACTGACCCAGACATGTCAACTAATTTTTAACAAGGGCTGCATTCAAAGACTTCTGGTATAAAAAGACATTTTAGATGCACCTTTGTTCGTTTTTTCCTTCATTGGAACACAGTTTTTATGAGGAAAGCAAATAATGCTCTTGATAATTGGTGAACTATAGGAACATGGCTGTCTTCATGGGTACACAAACATTCAGAAGATTTAAAAGTTTTGTTAATTTAGCAAGGATATTCAAAGGAAAAACTGAGTTAAGCTTCAAAATACTTTTTTATAACAAGAATTAGTTATAGGATATTTCAATTCTGTTTTAGATTTTTTAATATAATTTAGTATATACATTTTTTTTAAACTTTGTATTTATTTTTTCAACACGTTAGACCTATTTTGTACGTTTTTGTCCATCTGTCATAAAGACTGCACATAGAAATTAGCCAGTGGCTAAATCCATTGCAAACGTTATTTATGTATTTATTTATTTATTTATTTATTTATTTATTTATTTATTTATTTATTTATTTATTTATTTACTTACTTACTTATTTATTTATTTATTTATTTATTTATTTTCATTTTAACATACCATGTACATTGTTCTGATTTGATAATTCAATCCAATTTAATTCAGTTTACTTATATAGTCCAAATCACAGCATAAGTTGTTTCAGGGCACTGTAAATAAATAAACAATAAAGTAAACTGAAAGTCAATTGTTTGTAAAACTAATTTGATATATTTGACCAATTTGGAGCAACATAATGAGACGTTCACACAACAGTTATAAACGGCGATAGCTAACACAACATAACACACAGATAGCTATGCATTAGCGTGTGTTTAGCCGTAATGTTTTTATTAATATTTTACTTTAGTTTAGATTACATGCCATTGCGTAATAAAAAGTGTTAGCTAACATAATATAGCTGAGAAAACATTAAGTTAAACAACATTAGCTAACATAACATAGCTAACACAGAGATATAGCCTAAGCTATGTATTGAGATATAGTTGAAAGTTATTTTCATTGTAATTTAGTTAGTTTAGATATTAAGTTACAAACAGTGTTAGCTAACGTAACATAGCTAGCACACAAAGATAATCTGTACTGACATACATGGTTAGCGTGTTCTCTTGGTGTATGTGTGGGTTTTTCTTCAGAAACATCAACATGAACAATAATGGATGGATGCATAGGCATCACATATATCCCTTCAAATTTAAAAATAAAATATTCATTTGGACCATTTGCCCCCCCCCCCCCACACACACACACACACACATTTATCATGAGTTCACCCATCGCTGTTTCTATTTCTTCATGAACGAATCCATTCCACTTGATTAATAGGAGATACTCAAACCGCTGAAAATCCACTCCAGGATTTCCTGGTTGCTTACAACAACTAATCACACCTCATGCATTTCCCTGAGGTCACTTGGCTTGGCAGGGCGCTCATCTCTGTGCGATTTTTTGTTGATGGGGCGGGGGGAGGAGGGGGGAGACACATCTGTGTTGCACGCTAGCTTAGCTCTACATTAGTGCCAGTAGTTGTGGGGTGCTCTATTCACACAAGGAGAGCTGTTGGTCAGGCTACTTCTTGCGCTGTGCTCTCTAAAAAAAAAAGTTATTGAATCAAGTGTTTTCTTATGTTGTTAAACGCAGATGTTTACCCGGTTAAAATATTAAAATACACCAGAATGCAGGAAATGGCATCTACTTTATTCAAAATTTTATGGGGGAAGAGACCCCAGACTCCACCTCCACCACGTGTTTCCTGCCACATAACAAATACTTCTGACGCCAATGGACGGATGGATGGGCATGAATTTGGAAATTATTTCTTTCCATATTTTTTTAATTTAATTTAAAAGTAGAGAACAGTGTGCGAACGTTTAACGCAGCTTGCACATCAATAAAGAACAGCCTACAGCAATTGTGCCAAAGTTAACCAAAATACTTGTTTTCATTTTGTTACCCTTGTGTTGGTGTTACAAAGTCACCCTAAAATCATCACAGTAAGCATTACGTTAATGTTACGACTCTATTTTTAGCATTATGGTTCATTTCAGTCTGACCAGAACAACATGTCCAATCATGATTTTTAAAAGCAGCAGCATTTGCTATATAAATATACGGAACTGTTTAACAAATTTAACAGCCTGTCACTGCCAAGTGTCTCTCCAACTGATCTGATGTAGCATCCTGCCATACTTTATGTTTTCATCAGTAACTGGATTGATTCACTGCAAGTTACATAAATTAGGATTTATAAACATCTATGTATGTATTATTAACGCCTTACTGACAGCTTCATATTCATGCTCCACAGCACTGACTGCTCCCTAAGAGCCAGACTAGTTGGTTGTTGGTGTACATAGGTAAGGTTATGAACTATTACTGTCTTACCTGTTGCAGATAACTCTTTGAACAAACTCAAACATAATTTAATTAGTTGAAGCAAGTGCCTAATCTTTTTATTTTGTTGAGTTTTTGTCAACAGAACATTTAATTCAGCATTCTTCAGCTACTATTATCAGATGTGATAGTAAACTGCCGTGTCTAGGCAAGTCGTCCTAAAAACAAACACAGAGACGTACTTTTTAAAATTAACAACAATATTTTAATTACATCACTCTGCCTCGTAAAGAAAGTACACCAAATTTAAACCAGAACATGGTTGTTGAGATTAGTGTTGTTAAAAAAAAAAAGTAGCAGAATACAGTTTCCAGAGAAAAATGTTGAAGTTTTATCTGTTAACGCACCTGTTATAATAAACAGAAACATGAAATTACTTCCACAAGAAGCATAGTAAAGCTCACACACTTTCATGTGTCACATATAACACTGGAGTGCAAAACTTGAAGGGTTTTAAAGTTACATTCATGCAGCGGCTGTGCTCGTTGGTTAACAAAGAGAATAAGAAAGGCAGGATGCTGATAGAGGTGGGAAGAGGAGACTCCTGTAGTTTTTGTTCTCACAGATGTAGATTGTTTCAAGTGAGAAACAAAAAGCTAAAAGTTTCTACGCCCTACAGCTTTTCAACTCTAACCAAAGGACTTTGTAAACCAGAGAATTCTCTTTCTGATCTGGAGTCAAAAATAAAAGCTCGAGCTTGATCAGATTTGTCAGCTGACTCGCTTTGAGACAAGAAAAAGCCCAACCAAACCAGCCGGGGAAGCTTTCACAGGCAGATAAAAGAATGCAGCACTCCTTGACCTACTGAGACACGAGCGAGAAGCTGCTGCTTATAAATAGGTACAGGGAAAAGCGAAAACAACACCTGTTTGCACGGACACACAGTCCTTTCTGTTGCCTCCTGGCCTTTAAAACTGCAACCACTGTTTACGACGGCTGCAGTCCGGGACAAAGCACAACATGCAAATTCACTGTTTTTACATATTGGCTACTGCAAACCATGCAGTCATGTCCCTTTGAAGCCTCAACTCATTGCATTTTTGTTTCCTGGTGGTGAAAACACGAGACAGCGTGTGCAAATTCTGTCTTCCTGTTCACCTGGAACAATCTGCATACGCATCAGAGAGGGTTTGAATCCTGCTTCAGAGCAGGATCCTCTTCCGCATGTTTTTCCCCTCTCCATATTTGACATTTAAGACCAAAGCGTGTCCCAGATTTGAGATGTGATGACAGTGAACGCAACGCTTCTAAATAAATAAATAATTTGTCCATCGACGGAAGCAGTTCAGATGAAGCAGAAGAACTTCTTCCAGCTGCACCTTGAGAAAGCCTTCGTGCGCCTGTCTGAAAACCTCCTCTTCTTGCTCTTGCGCGCTTTGTTCTTGATGGCGGCGAAGATGGCTGCGTCAAACGCCTCCTTCAAGTTCTTCTGAGTGAGCGACGAGCACTCGATGTAGTCCGCGGCCCTGATCTTGTCTGCCATGGCCCGAGCTCGAGAGCTCTGGACCGGCTTGACGTTGCTTCTGTCCAGGTTGATGAGGACGTTCACGTCCAGCAGCAGGTCCGACTGAGTCCCAACCAGAATGATGGGCGAGGACGGGTTGTGGGCTCGGATCTCAGGAACCCACTTGGTTGTGATGTTGCGGAACGAAGTAGGGTCGACCACGCTGAAGCACAGGAGGAACACATCTGTGTGGGTGTAGGACAGCGCTCTGAACTCATCGAACTCTTCCTGTGTGGAGAAGAAAACCAGAAGATGTTAGTTTCAATCGAACTCTTCATGATCGAGGATGAAGAGTGAGGAAATCATCAAACAATAAAGCTGTGGTTCCAGTAGGTTCAAGGATTTTTATTGTCATTCGCATCACATGTGATACGTGAGGTGGGACAAAACTGTGTACTCAAGGTCCCAGTTACATCCAAAAATAGCAACAATATAAAGTATTAAAGAAACAGTAAATAAGGATCTAAGATATGCATGTCACAATTGGCTAGTGCTGGTGAACCCAGTGGTGCAGGCAAGCAGGCGAGGACTCAAAAATGTGTAAAATAAGGAATTTATTAACAGAACAAAAGAGCTGGCATGGCAGCGAAACAAAACATAGAATGAACAGGGGGTACTCACAATACAGACAGGTCATCACCAGTGAACAGCTAAACAATGCCAGGACAAGGACTAACACAGAGACACAGGCTTATATGAAGGAAACACCAATTAGACTAAGTGATGACACCTGTGAGTAATCACAGATGCCAGAGAAGGAGAAAGGATGCAAGACATGAACACGACACAAGATGGGGCTAGATACTAGAGAAACCCAAACCCAATAAAGAGAAACAGAGGATCAGGGTGAAAACAGACATGAACACGACAACAGGGACAAAACCACAACTCCTACAATACATGAAGATATAAGCTAAATGAACGCTAAATGCTAAGCTAAAAGATCCCAGATATACACCAAACAAACGCTAAAAGGTCTAAAATATACGCTAAATATAATGTAAAATAGTACGATATATTAAACAACAGCCCGAACATGAGTCTGTAGTGAGCAGATTGGTATGAATGGGTTCTGACAAACAAGATATCTGTTTTAGAGCAACCTCAGTTTAGAGAAACGGTGTTTAATTTTGATTTTGACAAGCTGACAGCTAGTTCAGAAGCTGCCAATTTAGCTTCATATGCTTATATACCACCAGGTTCATTGGCAGGCCCAAGTAGGTGCAGCAGCAGGTAGCTGTAGCACGTACGATGGGGGAACTTCCAACAGGAAGCTCAAAAGACTTCTGCCAGAATAATCGCTCGAGGGAAAATTCACAATGACGTGAAGCTGTACTAAATAGCATTTGCGGGAAACATTTTGTTTCACTGTTTGTGAGTTAAATTACATTTAATTGCAAGAAGGTCCAAACATTTCCCATCTTAAAAAACACAAACAAAAATATATGGTAAGCATAAAGACAAAAAAAAAAAGATTTACAGCACACAGCCTGGTATGATTAACCCTAATTCACTAATAAGATGAATATCTGTTATCAGATGGTCTTGACTAAATGTGCGGGCCAGCAGATGGAATATGCTGCTTATACTTCGTCCTTCTCCATTTAAAACACTGGATTGTTAAAATAGTTTTTTTGTGTGTGTGTATGTTATTATTTGAAATACTATATTAGACTGTACACTATACACATTTGTCCATTTCTTTTCAACTTAAAAGGTCAAAATAAACTTATCAGATCTACTGTTAGTGATTGGTGTTGTTTTAAAACAGCAACAATCTACAGTGGTCTTCAGCCTGCTGTAAGATCATCATCCTGGTACAAATTAAACTTCATTTTTCCAAACTGAGGTTTTTCAAGCTCCATCAATAACCAGTAAGATATTGATTGTTCGTAACCTTTCCACAGAACCCTGCTTCCAAAGGTCTAAACAATTGATTTAATGTTCTGGAAGAACTCCTGCTGTTGGATCATTTACTGGATATGGGGGAGTGTCAGTTTAAATGTTGTTTGGGGTACAGACAAAGATTCAACTTTAAAAAAACAGCACCTTTGTGATGTGTGTCTACATAATTTATAATGATGAAAATAAACAAATAGTACCTGTCCAGCAGTGTCCACCAGCTGAACTTTGACTGGAGATCCTTCAACTTGGACCTGACCTGTTGGAAATCAGGAACATTCATCTGTCAGTTTCATCTTATGTCATCCACAACTCTAAAAGCTGTTATTAAATAAATAAAGTTTTTTTATTTGTCTCACTCACCTGAGAAGACATCAAATCCAGTCTGCTGGTATTCCGCTGGGTATCCGTTGGAGATGTAGCTGACTAACATGCTGGTCTTCCCGACCTCTCCGTCCCCCACCAGCATGCAGCTGATCACATCTGGATCCAGCTCGTCCTCCCTGGTAAGCCCGCAAGCTGAAGGGACTCGGGACTCGTGGTAAAAGTAATCCATGTGAGGTGGCATGTCGAGCAGGGAGTCAAGAACCTCTCTCCCTCCTGCTTTCCTCTCTCCCCCCCTGACAGTCAAGAGTGTGATCCAGAGATTGCGAGCTCGTGTGTCTGCCTCTCACATTGCTGCTCTGACTGTCTGAAGGATCAGGGACATGAGAGAGAGAGAGACAGGATCCTTCTGCTCAGACAGGTTGTGATTTACATGAACCCGCCCACTGAAACTGAAAGCAGATGATTAACTGAGCTCTCTGAAAACAATCTCAAGTCACAGTTGAGGGAAAGAAAACAGATGAGCTTCATTTGTATAACAACTTTACTTATGCTTTGGCTTGGAGGAGTCAGAATAAAGGAGTTTTCTGCAACGAGCCCATACCATGATAGTGCTTCCACCATGCTTTACTGCTGATCATAAACAGGGATTGTTCTGCATTGATCTTGACCTGTTTATTCCACACTGATAGTTTAAAAAAAAAAAAAGGTTTTGAACCCTTTGCTCTCTATTTTTTCCCTGATGATGAGTCAAGGGAAGAACCAGGTGCACCTTCTTAGAGAGCATCATCGTTCATCTGGTTTAGACACTTTCTTTTCTTTTCTTGCTTTTTTGTAACTCACTCTGTTTTTCTCACATATTTTAAGAACAAACTGCAAACTTTGCAAATCTTTTCCACATTTTCAGCTGACAGCTTTCCAGGATTGTATATATATATATATATATATATATTCCGTTTTCCTCCAGTAAAACTTTATTTTTTGGTGTTTCGAAAGATTCAGTTAGAAAAGGAGATAATTGTATAAATATTTTTTCCCAAGTTTGTAATGAAGTTGCTAAAATGTCTTAGGTAAGAAACAGTGACAGTCATGACAAGTAAACAGAACTGTAGTTAATTCCTTAGCTTTAGACTAAAAACAACAAGTAATTGTTTGAACAAATCAACTCGTGTCATATCTGGATGGTGTTTTGAAAGACTCATAGAAAGTCTGGTGAATTATTGCTCAACATATTTTAAAGGCTACAAGAAAATAGAGGCTAGATTTAAAGTAATTAAAAGACATTAAAGTGCATCGTTGAAAAACCAATAGTGGATAAAACGCGCCCCCTGGTGGTAAGATGTACAAACTGCCAAAGAGATCACGTGATCCCGTGCATCACCTGACTGTGAGGGTTCACTTTGTTTAGAGTAGTCGGAAGCAGAAGTGAACCCTCTTTTAGCACGAATTAATGCTATTTCTCACATTCCCTTGCTTAAATTTCGGTGTTTAGGCTCATGTTGATCATAATTCATCTCAGCGTATGCGCATGCGTAGAAAGCGTAGAGTCGGTTAGTGAGATTTAAACGCAAGGAGGTTGTGCTAGCTCGTTAGCCGCTAGCAGTTTTTGGGGATATATCGTTTCCTCGCCAGGCATTTCATGCGGCTTTTATGATTGAGTTTGCTGCTTTATATTAAGTAAGTGGATGCACGTCTAATCATGGCTTCAATTCTCGATGAGTATGAGGACTCCCAAAACAACAGGCAAACTTCCCAGCAGCACAGCCGCCTATCCCCTGCTAACATCGGGCTAACACATTCAGGTAACTCTTCCTGTTTGCGTTTGCTGCAATAATAACTGCATAACTGTGTTATAATATTGTCAAAACGTCCTGTTTACTGACACAGACGTGTTATTTTTCCCCTCACCCAAGGCTTTGTGAACGTGAGGCTCGAGGAAGAGAAACCAATATTCAACAAACAGAGGATCGATTTCACCCCACCTGAGAGGATAAACCATTTGGCTGTCTGCAGCAACCAGCTGTGCATGAGTCTGGGAAAGGACACTTTGTTGAGGTAAATAAATGTCATCAAACACACTGTTAATCATTGTTACTGGGGTTAGCAATGATTTGATTGGATTACTACAAATTAAGACCTGTTCTCTTGTTTGTTCTGAGGAGTTTTGGGATAGTTGTTATTGCCATACAGTGTGCTGATAGTTTTTAATCTTTGTTATTTACAGAATTGATTTGGCCAAACCAGATCAACCGAACCAGGTTGAATTAGGGAGGAAAGATGACAGTAAAGTCCACAGACTGTTCTTGGATCCTACAGGTGACAACAGCAACAAACCTCTTTCAGTTTTTGTCCGTATTATGCAAAACAACAAGTAGACGATGCATTGCTAATGATTTATTAGTATTTCTGTGAGTCTGATCAATGTCTGGTGATACCGTTTGTGCCCAAGTCTGTGTGTCTTTGTTTGTCTGCCGTGTTAGTAAAACAGCTCATGAACGAGTAGATGGATTTCAAAGAAACTCTGGGGAGAGTAGTCACTGGATTTGGATCAGTAACTGATTAGCTTTTGAAGTCAACCGGATTCAAGATGGCTTCCTCAGCTAATTGATTTTAGAAACGCATCAATCAAACTTTATTTATAGAGCCCTTTCCAGCAGCCAAAAGGTGCACAAAGTGCTGCACAATACAGAAGTTGAAAACAAACAATTAAGAATAAAAAAATCAGCCATGACTCATTGGAAATTTCTGTATGAAACTCTTAGAAAGTAAAACGTTTGATCTACAGCGCATTGACTTTCGGAGTTGATGCAATTCAAGATGGCCATCACCTTAGCGCAAACAGTAATTGCTCTTACTCAGTGAGTTTTATTTATATTACAATTTTAGCTTAGCCTCAAACTTTCCATCTCCTCACACAACATTTTTGCATCTGTTTTTTGTATGTTCCTGTCATAGTGTCATGGTTATCCCTCGTTTAAAGTAAACAACGGCTTTGTCCTCCTCCATGTTTTCCTGCCGCAGGCTCCCATCTGCTGATCAGCCTGAGCACCAGTGAGTGTATGTACCTCAACAGGAACACACAGAAGGTGCGCAGTCTGTCCCGGTGGAGGGGCCACCTCATCGAGAGCGTGGGCTGGAACAAGCTGCTGGGCAATGAGGCCAGCACAGGACCCATCCTGGTGGGCACCAGTCAGGGCATCATCTTTGAGGCTGAGATCTCGGCGAACGAGGGCAGCCTGTTCAACACTAACCCGGACCAGTACTTCAGACAGGTCCGACACAAGAATATACAATTCATACTACACATATTAATCTATTCTTTTTACATGCAACTAAATAAAAATGTTTTATTTTCCTGTGGTAGATCCATTCCCTGGAAGAAGATGGCAAGCCCGCACCCATCTGCTGCTTGGAGGTTGAGCGCGGCCCGGAAAACAAGTACTTCATCATCGCCACCACCCGTAAACGCCTGTTCCAGTTTGTGGGTAAGCTGGCCGAAGGGTCGGAGCAGCAAGGCTTTAGCTCCATCTTCAATCAGAACCAGGACCTGCTTCCCAGCTTTCAGGAGTTCCCAGCCAACATGGGGTACAGCGAGATCACGTTCTACACGGCCAAACTTCGCAACGTCCCAAAAGCGTTTGCGTGGATGATGGGTAACGGAGTTCTCTACGGCCAGCTGGACTACGTCAGGCCTGATTCACTCCTGAGTGACGTTCAGGTAAATATCTGTTTGTGCAAGACTCTTCGCTACATTCCTCGCTGTTGTTTTCCGCTTCACATTTATGAAATCTGTTCTTTTGGCTGAATCCGAACAGGTTTGGGAGTACACTCCTGACATCGACATTAGTCACAGCAGACCCATCTCCATTGTGCTGACCCAGTTCCACTTCCTGCTCCTCCTCCCTGACCGAGTCAAGGCCATCTGCACTCTGAACGGGCAGGTGGTGTACGAAGACATGTTCCCAGATAAATTTGGCGCCTTAAAGAGGATGATCAAAGATCCCGTGGGTGGGTTGGTGTGGATCTACACGGAGCGGGCAGTTTTCCGCTACCACATCCAGCGTGAATCCAGAGACGTGTGGCAGATGTACATGAGCATGAATAAATTTGATCTGGCCAAGGAGTACTGTCGTGACCGGCCTGAGTGCATGGACATGGTGCTGGCCAAGGAGGCCGAGTACTGCTTCCAGAACAAACGGTACCTGGAGAGCGCCAAGTGCTACGCGCTAACGCAGAATTACTTTGAAGAGATTGCGCTTAAGTTCATCGAAGCCAAACAAGAGGAGGCCTTGAAGGAGTTCTTGCTGAGGAAGCTAAATAACCTGAAGCCGAGTGAGAAAACGCAGATCACTTTGCTGGTCACCTGGCTGGTCGAACTTTACCTGAACCACCTCGGGCAGCTGGAGAGCGACGGCAACAGCGTCATCTTCCAGGAGACCCGCGACGAGTTCCGCGATTTCCTGAGCAACTCCAAACACAAGGAGTGCCTGTTCAACAACCGCAGCACCATGTACGACCTGCTGGCCAGCCACGGCAACGTGGACGACATGGTTTACTTCTCCGTGGTCATGCGCGACTACGAGCGAGTGATTTCCCACCACTGCCAGAACGACAACTTCAGCGCGGCGCTGGACGTGCTCGCCAAGCACTGCGACGAAAAGCTTTTTTACAAGTTCTCGCCTGTGCTCATGCAGAATATACCTAAACGCGTGGTGGATGCGTGGATTCACATGGGCAAGAGGCTGGACCCCAAGAAACTGATCCCAGCTCTGATGAACTACAGCCAGATGGGCAGCACACAGCAGATCAATGAAACCATCCGCTACATGGAGTTCTGTGTGTACGAGCTGAAAGTGACGGAGGAGGCCATCCATAACTACCTGCTGTCTCTTTATGCAAAGTACAGACCAGACTCTCTGCTGTTGTATCTGGATCAGGCAGGCACGCACCCCTCGGAGATCTACTATGACCTGAAGTACGCCCTCAGGCTGTGTGCAGAGCATGGCTACCTCCAGGCGTGTGTGCTGGTGTACCGAATAATGGAGCTGTACGAGGAGGCGGTGGATCTGGCTTTACAAGTGGGTTCTATCTGTGGGTTATAAGGGAATGTTGCTTATTCCAAACACTGTTTGAATGTTTGACAGGAAAACTTGTTCGTGCATTTGCCACGTCTATACTGGACTATTGCAATGGTTTGTTATCTGGGTGTCCAAAAACTTCTTTAAAATGTCTTTAGTTAATCCAAAATGCTGCTGCCACAGTCTTAACTGGAGTTAGTAGTTAGGCCTGTCGCGATAAACAATAAGTCAATTAATTGCATGATAAATGAAAATTATCAACGTCATTTTCATTTATTGGCTTTGTCGTTTCTTCCTGTCTCTCTTTCTACTGAAGACACTGGATGACAAAAGGCTCAACTCCGGTGCTCTTCACGGACCCTTTCTCTTTAAAATCCATTTTAAACATCCCAAATTGCATTTTTGGATCGTTAAAAGCAGCTAAGCTGAGAAGCTAAGCTACGAACAACGCTAACAGGCCGACCTCAGGAATAAACCTCGGTCTGGTCAAAGCTCCGAAATTTGCGGTAGAAACTCGTGCCTTTGTGTAAAAAGTTGTTTTTCTTTGCAAAAAGAAGCAGAGAATTTGTTTACTGATTTTTCTATTAAAAGCAAATCACCGAGCGTCCGTCGTGTCAGCCCATGTCACGTCAAGAGCCCTCCCTCCCATTTTTCTTAAAGAGACACGCTGCTCAACTATCCAGAGATAGTTTTGGAAACTCTAGGGACCGCGAGTAAGCCTGCAGTCTGAGAGCTAAGTTCTCTGTTAGGAAAATATGGAACAGTAATATCTGTAATATAAGATGGAGCTAGGTTGTTGAGAACTTTGTAGGTTAGTAGTAAGATTTTGAATTCTGTTCTGGATTTGACGGGGAGTTTCCAAAAGCAGAATGGGAGGAAGATCTTTCAGTTCTCAGGCTCCTCTCTTGTGGAACCAACTTCCAGTTTCTGTCCATGGAGCTGACGCATTGTCCAGTTTGAAGACTGGGATTAAGACTTTCCTTTTTGATAAATCCTATAGTTAGGGTTGACTTGTTATGCTGCTATAGGCTTAGACTACTGGAGAACAAATTGACCTCATTTCCTTAAATGAATTGTTAAAATTGAATAGTTTTCATTTGATACTATTTCTTTCTTAACATGTGAATCTTGACCTGCCATTGTGTATCTGTTCCTCTCAAACCCAGCCAGTCAAAGCAGGTGTCCGCTTGTCCTGAGCCTGGTTCTGCTAAAAGTTTCTTCCTCATGAGGGAGTTTTTCTTTTCCACTGTCGCCTTCATGCTCGCTCAAGATGAGAGTTTTGTAATTGAGTTAAATTCAAAGCGGTCTGCTCCTCAGATAAATAATGTTAAATTATTATTTTTATATATAAATATTTCTATTCAGTGCCCTGAGATGATTTCTGTTGTGACTTGGCGCTATATAAATAAACTGAATTGAACGAATGTTTTGCTGTCCGTAGGTGGACGTAGACTTGGCCAAGAAATGCGCCGACCTGCCAGAAGATGACGAAGAGTTGAGAAAGAAGCTTTGGCTGAAGATCGCCAGGCACGTGGTGCAGGAGGAGAAGGACGTGAAGAAAGCCATGAACTGTCTGTCGAGCTGCAACCTGCTCAAGATTGAAGACATCCTGCCTTTCTTTCCAGACTTTGTCACCATTGACCACTTTAAGGTATGGATTAAGGGACTTTTTCTAAAGCATTTATTAAAAAATATTGACTAAAATAACAATCTATTTCCGTTAATTCCAAATATAGTATATTTAAATGTCTTTTGTGCATGTTCAGGAGGCCATTTGTGGTTCCCTGGAGGAGTACAACAAGCACATTGACGATCTGAAGCAGGAAATGGAGGAGGCCACGGAGAGCGCTAAACGCATCAGAGAAGACATCCAGGAAATGAGGAACAAGTACGGGGTTGTGGATTCCCAAGAAAAGTGTGCTGCTTGTGACTTCCCATTACTCAACCGACCCTTTTATTTGTTTCTGTGCGGTCACGTGTTTCACTATGACTGCCTGTTCCAGGTAAGTAAGACGTCCAAACTGGATTTTTCAGTCATCGCATCAGGAAAAAAAAGTAGTGAATAGTCAGAAGTCACTCCCGTTTAATATTTTTCTTATTGTTACTTTTTAAAAACTTCATAGGAAGTGACTTCTCATTTGTCAGCCTTCAAGCAAAGTCGCCTGGAAGAGCTCCAGAAAAAGCTGGCCGCCACATCGCAGTCTTCCAAATCACGCCACCATCAAGCACCAAAGGAAGAAGGAGACACTTCCAGCCTGGGGAAGGGCACTGCAGGCACAAGCCGCGAGCAGATAATATCAGACATCGATGACATCGTTGCGTCCGAGTGCGTGTACTGCGGCGAACTGATGATCAAATCCATCGACAAGCCTTTCATCGATCCACAGAAATTTGAGCAAGAGAAATCCAGCTGGCTGTGAATAAATACTCTTCTACTTTCAGTGTGAAAATGAAGCATAGCGTGTTTATATCTGAGAAAAGGACCTCTATGGTTGGACTAAGCCATTTAGTGGAAACAGCCAATGACCGGATCAGTTGTTGGTTAGTGCCTATTGCTGAAAATGTGAGCCACTGCTCTACAGAAACCTGCTTATGTTGCTGTCATTGTTTAAAGTTGATGGAACAAACTTTGCACTTGATCAGTGCACATGTACTAACTATGAACTGTGGTCTAAGACGATGACTAATAAGTCCAGGACTGTTTATTGCATACATGTGCCTGAATGTGTCAATACTGTAAATGTATCTGCACTATGCCCATTTTATCTGTTAATTGCATTAGCATATGTACTTGTTGGCTCATAACACTCATGTATGTCTGCCGGTTCAGTTAAGTCTGTACTTATTTAATGGAAAAAAGGCAAACTTGTTTTATATTAAAGACATTTTGCAAGTGACGTGTAAGACAATAAAACTTGTTTTGGTGGAAAGTTTTTGTTTGAAATGTCATAAATATTCAAAACTGAATTAAGATTTCATGTGTAAAAATAAATTTATGTATGACAATTTTCTCCCAGGAGACGGATTCTTGAAAAAGAATATGAAAAAGCAGAATAACTATGACTTGGTCTATAATTAAGATGAAATATCTCCCTTAATGGTAATGTTTAACAGTTATGAATAGTTGTACATTTGAACAAATCTATTCATTTGAGTAGGTGTATACTTTGGCATTTTTAATTTTAGATCAGAAATTGAAATAAAGTTACTGCAAACTTTATTGCAGCCACGCTCAAAACGGAGTTCCCATGTTATGACGTAACACGTAGCTCGGTAATCTTCGCAGAATCCAGACGCTACTAATCGACATCGGAAAATTATCGATGCGTTCACACTATATGTACACATACGGCTCCAAATGTTTACGTTGTGTTAGTAATCTAACTTTTATTAGCGTAAAAATATTAATGTGATTTTTTTTGTCTCCGTATTTCCCTCAGAGACACTGAAGGACACGCGTCCCTCTCTCTACAGTTGATTAAAATGGCTGCTCCTTGCTGTAACCTCGCCATGGCGTCGTGTCTCTGCTGTCTCAGTAACAGAAAGTGGCCGCCTTTCTGCTGCTGCTGCCGACTCAAAGCTCACAGACTCGTCTGGTGCCTCAAACCGCCATTTTGGAGTCAGAGAACCGAGAGTCGGCAGCAGCGACGAGAGGGACTGAAAGGGGGACACGGGGCTGAGGTGAGAGACTCCACGATGGTTGTTATGGCGAAGGAGCAATGGGGAAGATGGCCGGGAAGGGAGAAAGAATTAAAAGACGGGGATCATACGTTCGCAAGGCTTCCGAGCTCTTGCCCGCTTCTAAGCTACGAGAGGCGCTTGCGGAGGGCCTCAGTGTCGCTGCGTGGCGACTGACAGGGAACTAATAAATTGTAATTTAATGGATATTTCTTAATATATTGTTTATTCAAGGAGGTGGTGGCCTTAAAGAGACAGAGGCGGTTCGAATGCTTCAAATTTACGGCGAAACGACGTCTCGGTCCAAGCGCCTTGGTACCTGCTAAGCTAACTAGCTAGCTCTTATAATAACCACAATTTAAGAAAGTTTGTTTTCATAATTAAAGATGGCTTTTTGGGGAACCCATCAATAACCTGTTATAGTAGATTTGTTTGACCAGCTGTCGATGTATGTGTGCACCAAACACCTTGACCCTTTTCTACCACCAGGCCGGCTAACGGGGTTAGCATGCTAGCTTGTAGGCTAAAGTACACGAAGGTAAAGTAGGAAGTCCTTAACTCGCTAATTATAAATTACCAAATAAATTAAATGGTATTAAAGCACTGAGTTCCCCCCTTTATTTCTAAAATTAGCATAATTTAATTATTTTGATACTTTCTACCAAAATCAGCATGTTGATGAGTTTTTCCCCTTTTCTAAAATTAGCATACTGGAATTATTTTGATACTTTTTTAATTTATTTTATTTTTATACCAAAAAATTAGCATGTTGATATCCTGCCACAAATAACTCCGGGAACACACACACACACACACACACACACACACACACACACATATATATATATATATATATATATATATATATATATATATATATATAATTACTACTGCAACAAGCTGAGTGTCATTAACATATAAAACCCCAATTCTTCTCAGTTCAAATTAAAAAAAGTGATTTTCCCTGCTGATTTCTTTAATGTGTGCAACCTAAAATCATTAGTTTTACATGAAAAGGGCCCAATGTTTCTGGAATTCAGGCATCAACATGTCTGATTTTGAATAGTTACTACTGTATCAAAATGGTCAAACTTTTATTATTAACACAATAAACATCACCAGTAGTAGAGGTCAAATTATGTCAGAATCACCTGGTAAGATTTCCACAAGCTGAACACACAAAGTGATCCAAACTAAATGACCAGAACCTCTTGGATCAATTTGTTTCTAAAGCAATGTCCTCACTATGCAAAATGTAGTGGTGCAGTTTTGCTGCTTCCTTTTTCTGAAAATTTGAAAGCTATAAATAAAAGGAAACACACGAGAAGACTAACTCGAACTCAGAAGTGTTTTGATGCAAAGTCGAGTCATTCCACATTAGAAGTCTAGAAGTCAGAGACATGCCAGGTGCAGTTTTTTCCAATTTTGGGCCACATGAACATCAAAACCCAAAGTTTTACAGCAGAACATTCGTCAAAGCATCATACTGGTTACTCATGTTCTGGGTCTTGTCATCTATGTGAATTTTATATTGGCACATCTCAACCTAAACAGTATCAGACCACATACACCCCTCAAATGAAGCAGCAGGAAGAATAATGCTCAGTAAAACAGTGAGAAAATGGTTGAATAAATCAAGTTTATGCTCCAAATCCTTGTCCACTCAAGCACCTATGGGACGTTTTGGATAAATACATTTAAAACTCCACAACTTTCAGGATTTGGAGTTGATGCCTCGACACGTCAGGGTTTTTGTGGAGGCTGAAGTGTCACCTAGTCGATGTTTATGTCAAATGATGTATATTAGAAAGTGACGCACTTTATTCTTTCATAGGCTCGTTCAGCTTCGAGACGTCGTTCATTTAGGAATGAGGAGTGATGGCCTCCCTCACTGAAAAGGTAATTGTGTCCTGCTGAATGTTCTTGGTAGAATTTAGATCCCATTTAATCAGCATCACTGTTGTTCCATTGTTACAACATTGGCTCGCCTATGTCTTTCTCTTTAGTAAAAGGTCCTGCACGTCTGGGCAGTGGAGTCTGGGCCACATGGCATCAGGGCATGACGGGCTGCAGGAAGTTGGGCCATCAGGTGCATCTGGCCTGGCTAAACCTGTCTATCTACAGCGCCTGGAAAGATCCCTGAAGTTGGACAGCTTTCTGCGCCAAACCGCCGCCCTGTTTAACAGAGACGTAACCAGGTAGAGAAAAACAGGGGAGTGTGGAGATGCACTTGAAATTGCATATATTTAAAAATAAAGACGTGTACGTTAGTGTTCTACAGTAACTGTTGTTAATTGCTCCATAGTTAATGAACGCACGGGTCATCCCCCTTTGCACAGTCTGTTTCTAGTTTAGGTCTGACTTTTACTGTAGACACGAAGAGTGGATGCGTGGGATCCTAAAGGGTGAACTCATAGCCGCATCACTTTCTGTTGTAGTGACGACAGCGACGACAGCGATGACAGCGACGGTGCACTGGGGTCAGGGCTGTCCCTGGAGCCCTCCACCCAACACGCAGCTGTGACGGTGAAGAATGAGCCCTGTGAGCCAGAGGACGGGCTGTTAGATGGGAAACCCCTAAACGGAGTTCTGCAGGGTAAAGGTTGGTCAAGCTTTACAAACCCTTCTGTTTGCGTTGCTCTCTTTATTACTGCGTTTATTATCGAATCATGCTCTTTATTGTATATAATCCGATGTGTTTGTTTAACTTCAACAGAACAAAAGACAGATAAAATGAGCCTCTATAATTTTTCCAAGCTGAAAAAGAACAGGAAGTGGCTCAAGGTATTTACACGGACAAATTCTTTCTTCCTTCTACATTTTAGGCACAAAAACAATATATTAACAGGTTATGACCCTTCCTTGCAGCCCTGCTCTACCCTTCCTCTACCCCGTTGTTTTGTCTCGTTTCGTACCTTCACTCAGCCTGCTCTTCTTCTGCCTCCTGCAGAACATCCTGTTGAGCGACGACACCACGGACTCCGACACGGACTCGGACGATTCCAGCCTCAGTTTGTCTCGGGAGGAGCTGCACAACATGCTGAGGCTCCACCGTTTCACCCGGCAGCAACAGAGCAAGTTTTACTCCGACCGAGAGGTACAGAGCTGCTTGTATTTTAAACATTACCCATTATTATATATAAAAAAATACAATGTTTATATGCTATGTGTGTTTTTTTTTTTTTTACACAGCTTTATCAGTATCAGCACTACAGCACGGGGCTCCTGTCAACTCATGACCCTTTCTATGAGCAACAGCGTCACCTGCTGGGGCCAAAGAAGAAGAAAATTAAAGAGGAGAAGAAGCTCAAAGGTAAGAGGATATTCATTTTTAATCACGTCTGGGCAGAAAACAGAACTAAAAAATATATATATTTTTTATAGCTAAACTGAGGAAAGTGAAGAGGAAGAAGAAAAGAGGAGAGGGAGAATTTCTGGATGAAGACCGTCCTTACGTGAACAGGATCTTTGCCAAGTTTTCCCATGATGCTCCGCTGCCCATGGTGAAGAAAAAGCATCTCACCGTTGAGCAGCTGAACGCACGGCGGCGTAAAGTGTGGCTCACTGTGGCTAAAAAGGACATTCCCAAGGTCAGACTTTGGAAAAAAGGAACGCAATCTATTGCATAATGTAGACTTTCCTGTTTTTTTTTTTGCAGATGAATAAGATTTATTAATTTAATTTTTACAGTCTTTCAAGCAGAAGACCTCTGCTAAGAACTTGGTATTGACAAATGCTAAAAAGGTAAGCAAAATGTTCACGACTATACGGCAACATCAACTTTTACCAGCATTTTAAAGAACATATTTATTGATTTTTCTTAAATAGTTTTTGATTTTGGTTGATTTGTTGATATCATATTCTATTTTTTTTTTTTTATTGCCTGCTTTTGAAAGCAAGCGTAAATATTTTCCCCCGTGTCTGCGTTTGTGCACGTGTTTGTTTGTTTGTTTGTTTGGTGATATGCCTTCGACGAAGGCCAGGCCTAGTAAGAAGACTGAGTGTAACTGCTGGTTTCTTGTCTCCAGCTGGCTCACCAGTGCATGCGAGAGGTCCGGCGTGCAGCCATCCAGGCTCAGAAGAACTGCAAGGAGACGCTGCCCCGCGCCCGGCGCCTCACCAAAGAGATGATGCTCTACTGGAAGAAATACGACAAAGTGGAAAAAGAGCATCGAAAGCGAGCGGAGAAAGAAGCTCTGGAGCAACGCAAACTTGACGAGGAAATGAGAGAGGTTGGTGTCAGCGAGGTTGTCCACGGAGTCGTCACACGTGGAAAAACACAATTACCGTATTTTTCGGACTATAAGGTGCACTTAAAATCCTTTTAATTTTCTCAAAAATGACAGTGAGCCTTATAATCCAGTGCGCCTTATGTTTTACTTCTGGTTGTGCTTACTTATGTGGTTATTGTGAATGAGTTGAATAAAGTTAGACTTATCTGACTGTTTTGTTTCGCTTAATGCATTTTATAATCCGGTGCGCCTTATAGTCCGAAAAATATGGTAGTTAGGCCTGTCGTAGTAAACAATAAATCAATTAATCGCACGATGAATGAAAATTATCAACCTCATTTTCATTTATCGGCTTTGTCGTTTCTTCGTGTCTCCCTCTTTCTACTGAAGACACTGGATGACCAAAAGCTCAATTCCGGTGCTCTTCCCTTTCTCTTTAAAATCCATTTTAACGATCCAAAATCGTATTTTTGGATCGTTAAAAGCAGCTAGGCTGAGAAGCTAAGCTATGATCTAAGCTAATAGTCGACCTCGGGGGGGGGGGGGGGGGGGACTTCCGTCTTGTCAAAGCACCAAAATTCACAGTTGAAACCCGTGCTTTCGTGTAAAAAGTTTTTCTCTGCAAAAAGAAGCTGAGAACTTGTTTTACTGATTTTTTTATTAAAAGCTTTGTGTGAAAAATGCTATGCCAAACAGCTCAAACCACACAGAGCGTCCGCCATTTTGAGAACCAAATAAAAAAGAGAGACAGCCCATGTGACATCAAGGGGCCTCCCTTCAATTTTTCTTAGAGTCACGCTGCTCGCTCCTTCACTATCCATCCTTCGGTTCAAACAGTCTTATACTGCCATCCGGTGGTCAAAAGGTACTACACGCAAAACAAATTAACCACATTTCTTCTTAAATTTGACAATAATTACTAATTCTTGTCAAATTTCAAACAATATTATCGTTTATCACAATAATTTCTGAGACAATTAATCGCCCAGTAAAATTTGTTATCGTGACGGGCCTAACGGTAATAATACTTTTCCTATTTTGTTCCTCACAGGCCAAGCGTCAGCAGCGCAAACTGAATTTTCTCATCACCCAGACGGAGCTCTATGCTCATTTCATGAGTGGAAAAGCCAGCATGGCGGGTCCAGGAGGAGACGCAGCTCAGGAGGAAATTCTGAAAAAGCTCGAGGACAATTCAGCCCAGAGACAAATAGACGTTGGAGGAGGAATAATGGTGAACATGGGGCAGGAGGACTACGGTACGAACACTGTTCCTAACAGCATCGCAGGTTAAGTCAGTGTTCCAGAAGAGTCTGTCACGTTGTGAACCTACTTTTTCATAAAATCATGGTAAACCACCTGAAAATAAAAAAAAACGTTGGCCATTTTTCAAGATGGCCGTTGTTTCAGTTTTGACAAACTGCTTTTTCCTTGTTAAATCTGAAGGGCAAACTGAGTGTTACAGCAGATGCAAATATCACATGCACACAGCTTTGTGCCAACGTGACGAGTTGAGCGTATTAGTTACGTGCGTCACTGTTAAAATTTCTGTGGTTTGCTTCGTATATCCATCCAAATCCATGAAATATTTCAAGCGACAACACTGTTTACACATCATAAGACATTAAAATCCTTCATTTATGGTATTAATATACTTGTTATATATGTATATGTTATATATATATATATATGTTTTTAATTTATTGACTTTTTTAAACTCCAATATTGAATTTAGCATGCCTAAAAAAACAACATTTTGTTGCAAAAATTGGGATATTTGAATGATTCACTGTCAATTCAGGTTGAAAACAAAAGACCTCTAAAGGTGGCCTTCTTGAAAAATGGTGACTATTGTTTTTCCTCATATATTTATTTTTTATTTTTTGAAGAGAGATCCATCCTTAGTTTTTAGATGTTTCAATAATCTCCAGCAATATAAACCCGTAAATTCCTTAAGAATCCAAGTGTCTTACTCTTTTGTGTTTTGGCAATATATATATATATATATTTAAATTACCACAACCATTCTGTTTGATTATAGACAGTGAATACTACAAAACGCAGGCGCTGAGGAATGCCAGAGATGCTTATCAGATTCATCAGGAGAGAGTAAGCTCAAAAACGCATTCATTCTATACAGACATCTCCCAGTTCTGCACATGAACTGTGATTTATTCTTCACAGACAAGAATGTTTGACGAGGAGGCTAAAGACAGTCGCAGCGCCTCTCTGCACGTGGCGTGGGGCTCCTCCTCGGGGCTCGGCTCCGGCTTTGGGGAAAGCTACAGCCTTTCAAACCCATCCATCCAAGCGGGAGACGACATTCCTCAGCCCACCATTTTCAGCGGAAAACTGAAGGGTTACCAACTCAAAGGCATGAACTGGCTGGCCAACCTCTATGAGCAGGTACTGTCTGAGAGAGCACACCTAACTGGTCGGCTGCGAAGGCAGACGTTTCTGCCTTTGTGTTTAAAATGCATAAGAATGATTTTCTGGAAAATGTTGGAAACTCAGTCAGTTTAACAATCAAGCTAAATTTGAAGTGATAGTAGCTGAGACTGATGCGCAACACATTTTCTGAGGGATCTTAGTCTAAAGCAGTGACATGAAAGATGGTGGGCGATTCGCATTTATCACCTTCTTTATTCTTGTTTCTGTAAAATAAAAAAAGAAAGACAAGAAGAAGAAGAAGAAGCAGGAACTTCACTTTATTAAATGTAACTAAAGAAATTGCATTTCCTGTGAAAATGCAGTGCAAATGCTTATTGCTGAAGAACTTGCTGAAAAACAGCTGACATTAGCTAAAAACATGCGGACATAGCTGAAATGGAAGAACGAGCCCAAGTTAGCAAAAGAAAGCAGAAAGAACACATATTTGATGAATTGGGTTTAAATAAGCAGAAATTAGCACAAAAATTATGAAATTAGCTAAAAAAAAAAAAAGGGCTGAAACAAGCAAAAAATAGCTGAAAAGTAGTTGAAAATGCAGAAAGAAGCTTAAAGTATCAGAAGGAAGTGGAAGGAGCTGATATAAGCTCAAAAAATGTGGAATTAACTGGTAAAGCTAAGTTTAGCACAGAAGCAGCTAAAAAGTAGCTGAAATAACAGAAAAAACTGAAACTATCAGAAAAACGCTCAAGGAGCATAACAAGCTGAACTTAGCAGAAAGGAGTTAATTAGGCTGAAAGTAGCAGAAATTACCACGTAAAACTTGAATTTATCTGAAAAACGGCTGAAATTAGCTAAAAAATGCTAACAACTTAGCTGAAAAGGTAGAACAAGCTTAAATTAGCAGAAGAAAACAAAAAGAACACGTTTGCCCAATTAGGCTGAAAGAAACAGAAATGAGCACACAAAGTGGAAATTATCTGAAAAAAGCTGAAATTTGCTAAAAACAGCTGAAAAGTACCAGTAGCTAAAAAAAAGCAGAAAGAAGCTTGAATCACCAAAAGAAAGTGGAGAGAGCACAATCTTGCTGAATTAAGCTGAAAGGAGCATAACAAGCTGAAATTTGCAGAAAGAAGTTAGAAGAACAAAATGTTGTAGTTAGCAGAAGAAATCCGAAAGGATCACAAAACAGCTGAAATTAGCTGAAAATAGCTACAAAAATGTTTAAATTAGCAGAAGGAAGCTGAACTAGAGCACAATGTGAAAGGAGCAGTAAAAGGTTGTAAACAGATCTAAAGATGTGCAGGATGTAAAATGAGCTCAATTCATTTTCTATGAGGGGAAAAAAGGGCAAAAAAGGCTAAATATTTCAAAAAGCTAAAGTTGAACCAATACCAAAAGTCATAGCAGGATTGTCCAGGAAGAGCTGAACGTTTTGATATGATTTGTTGAAATAGCTTGAAAACTGTGGCGCTGAAAAAATGTACAGAAGAAAAAAGGATCACAACAGAGTGAACGTTTCATGAACATTCACACAATTAACTTCGCCTGCAGGAACCAGTGGATGAAGCAGCGCTCCGTGGGAGAGAAACCTTTCTGATTAGTTGAACATTTGCAGCTTTTTACGTCCACCTTTTTTATTTATTTGACCTGAGTTTATTTCCATTACAGCCTTTCATCCTTCCTAACTTCAGGTTGTACAAGAGCAAAAACTGCAAACACCACATTCATTCATTTAATCAGGAAATTACATTCTCCAGGTTTGTGTTTTGCTACGACGACGACATTGTTTCTGGAAACATTAGGTTAGGTCAGTAAGAACATAATATAATATGGTGTTATCAACGTCTTTTAAAACAACCTCAGCTTTGCTGTTTTCCCTGAGTGTTTTTTTTGCTCTTTATAAAATGGCTTTATTATAAACCCACGCGGTTTTATGTTCCCTCCTTTGTTTTCATCTCATGTCTTCAGGGAATCAATGGAATCTTGGCGGATGAGATGGGACTGGGAAAGACGGTTCAGAGTATCGCCCTGTTGGCCCACCTAGCAGAGGTGAGTGGGAGGACTTGGTCTTTAGTCCCTGCTATTGTTTTAGACTTGTGAACGTAACTATCAGGCAGCTTCTTTATGCACCTGCATCCTTTAAAGGGTTTGGCTGTGTGTGCCTTCTGCAGATTCTGAAACATTTTATTAGACGAGGTGTCCGTGAAATCTTCAAATGTTTGGGGAATCCGTGGAAATGTTAGCTTTTCAGTCTGCTGTCGCTGACAGAATGATGCATGCTGTGTTTCTTCTGGACTTCCTGTTACTGGGTGCTGTTAACGTACAAAGACCAACTGTTGCAGAGGACGATGATTCTCGTTTCTGTTCCTGCACAGAGAGACAACATCTGGGGTCCGTTCCTGATCATCTCCCCAGCGTCCACACTCAACAACTGGCATCAAGAGTTCAGCCGCTTTGTGCCCAAATTCAAGGTGAGGATCCAAAACACGACAGAGAGAATGTGAAACGTCTGCAAAATCACCCTTTAAGGATGTTTTTCTCCTTTTGTGCTATATTTGTCCTTAGATCTTGTGTTTGAACGTTCCTCAGATTTACCCCTGGGAATTTAGAAAGCATCTTTCTATCTAGGCCTGTCGCAATAAACAATAAATCAATTAGATGCATGATAAATTAAAATTATAGACCTCATTTTCATTTATCGGCTTTATCGTTTCTTCATGTCTCTCTCTTTCTACTGAAGACACTGGATGACAAAAAGCTCAACTCCAGTGCTCTTCACTGACCCCTCCCTTTCTCTTTTCTTTAAAATCTGTTTTAACTATCCAAAGTCACGTTTTTGGTTTGTTAAAAGCAGCTAAGCTGAGAAGCTAATCTACGAGCTAAGCTAACAGGCCGGCCTCGGGGGGGGGGAGGGGGGGGTGGGGGGGGGGGGGGGGTGGGGGGGGAGGGGAACCTCTGTCTTGTCTAAGCTCCAAAAATCACGGTTGAAACCCGTGCCTTCGTCTCAGAAGAAGTTGCTTTTCTCTGCAAAAAGAATCTGAGAACTTTTTTGTTGTTTTTTTAATTAAAAGCTTTGTGTTACAAATGCTATGCTAAAGATCCTGATGAATGCTCAATGCTATGCTATGCTATAGCTAGTTATACTAGCTATGCTAAAGAGCTCAAACCAAACCGACCGGCTGCCATTTTGAGAATCGAAAAACGGGAACAAGAGACCGCCCATGTAAGGGGCCTCCCTCCCATTTTTCTTAAAGAGTCACAATGCTCGCGCCCTCACTATCCATCCTTTGGTTCAAACCATTTTATACTGCCATCCAGTAAAAAATTAACCAACATTTCTTCATAAATTTGACAAGTACTAATTATTGTCAAATTTCAAACAATATTATCGTTTATCGCAATAATTTCTGAGACAATCGGCCAGCAAAATTTGTTATCGTGACATGCGTCTGTCTGTCTGTCTGTCTGTCTGTCTGTCTGTCTGTCTATCTATCTATCTATCTATCTATCTATCTATCTATCTATCTATCTATCTATCTATCTATCTATCTATCTATCTATCTATCTATCTATCTATCTATCTATCTATCTATCTATCTATCTATCTATCTATCTATCTATCTATCTATCTATCTATCTATCTATCTATCTATC